ATCAATTTTGTTTAAACTGAGGTGTGTGGATTCCCCTTCTTTGGGGCAGATTAGTGGGGCCCATTAGGGGAAATAGAGGAAAACATTAAAGATCCTTCTCCTTCTGTACCGTTGAAGGGATTTTAACCTAACCAAACTTGTTTTAGAGAATCTTTGGGCAAAGGGAATTGAATATTTATAAATGGAAGATGCAACTTTGTTACTTGTACTCCTTTGATAAACCTGAATGGTACTCAGCAGGTTTTAAATTGAAAAATAAAATACCAGGTAAGCTATTAAGGCCCCTGGGCCTCTTGTTTTCTTTGACCACCAGTAGGAGCAATAAACCATGCAACTCTCACCATCACTCACAAGGTCATTGATAGTGCTCTCAAATGAATATTACCTCCCGTCAAAGCTTTGAGGGACTTGTAAAATCGTGCACTACAAGAGGTCAAACATGCCATTAAATCTATAAAGAACAGAAAAGTTTTGGGCTGATCGATTGCGCGCTAAGATGGTTAAATCTGAAGAAACTGTTTTCCCAAAACGTCTAGGGCAGCACCCAGCCAGTGGAATTTTGGCCTAATTGTCAACTGCCCTAGATAGATCCGTAGAATACTATTACAGGGGAGGAAATACGCTACGCTCGGTGTACAGGTTCACTTACAGTTGAGTCACATTAAACAGAATGTTAACCACAGTAGACTCGCAAATTCTCAAAGAGCGTGTGGGATCTAGGACTGAAAGACATGTGCTGTAAAAAGTTTTAGAGCAGGCAATTGCAGGAAGCACTTTATTATAAGCAAACTTAATATTTTGCTCAATAGCCTTTAGCAGTGTTTACTAAGGCATACTAGTCAAGGTTATCGCCCTCATCAAAGCTCCAACTCAATATGGACTTCCAAGCAAGGATGAACAGACAGACAGTTTCACAATCCAGGCAAGAATGAGACGGATATACACTTTCGTCAAAGATTGGTTTATGAAGCAGGCAGCTCACAGATATCTTAAACATTCCAAGAACCACTGGAAGACTTAGTATACGATATTGCACTGTGATACCGGGAAATCAATATCAGAACAAAGGTTTTAGGCCTAATACACAGTATAATATAGCCAGATAATGTTAATCGTCTATGTAAGAAAGACCAATTTACCATAAATTAACCATGATAAACCATTGAGTCACCATTTATTTACCAAGATACACCGTAAAGTCACCATAAATTAACCAAGATATACCATTTATTAAGCAAGATACACAGTTGAGTCACCATAAATAAACCAAGATAAACCGTGGAGTCACCATAAATTAACCAAGCTACACAGTTAAGTCACCACGAATTAACCAAGATACACCGTGGAGTTACCAGAAACTAATCAAGATACACCGTGTAGTCACCATACATTAACCAAGATACACCGTGGAGTCACCATTAATTAACCAAGATACACCGTGGAGTCACCATTAATTAACCAAGATACACCGTGGAGTCACCATACATTAACCAAGATACACCATTGTCATCATCAATTAACCAAGCTACACTGTTGAGTCACCATACATTAACAAAGATACACCGTGTAGTCACCATACATTAACAAAAATAC